GGGCTTAAGGGACCAAATTTAAATAAAGGGGAGGGGCTTAAATGGACCTAATTTAAATAAATGGGAGGGCCTTAAAGGGACCTAATTTAAATAAAAGGGGCGGAGCTTAATGTACCATAATTTTTAAAAAGGGAGGGGCATAAAAAAGGGGAGGGGCTTAAAGGGGAGGGGCTTACATTGATCTAATTTAAATAAAGGGGAGGGGCTTAAAGGGACTGAATTTAAATAAAGGGGAGGGGCTTAAATAAAGGGGAGGGGCTTAAAGGGGTGGAGCTTAAATGGATCTAATTTAAATAAGGGGAGGGGCTTAAATAAGGGGAGGGGCTTCAAGGGATCTAATTTAAATATAGGGGAGGGGCTTAAATGAGGGGAGGGGCTTAAAGGGAAGGGGAGGGGCTTAAAGGGAGGGGGAGGGGCTTAAAGGGAGGGGTCAGGGTTAAAAGGGGCGTGGCCTGATCCGAGGCCCCGCCCCCTTTCCTCTCCCCCCTCCAGCCGCCCCTCCCCCCCCCGGCCCCGCCCTGCAGGAGCTGCGGGCGGAGCTCGGGGGGGGCGGGGCCGGGGCGGGACCCCCCGAGCGGAGCCTGCCCAGGCTGGTGCGGCAGGTGGGGAACTGGTTTGGACTGGTTTGGACTGGGAGGGCACCGGGAGGGGGGAAACGGGGAGAAATACGGAAAAAACGGGGAAAAACGGTGAAAAAACGGCGGAAAAAGGGTTAAAAATGGGGGAAAAGGGGTTAAAAATGGGAGGGGAAGGGTTAAAAATGGGGTTTGGGGTTACTGGTTTATACTGGGAGGGACTGGGAGGGGGGAAATGGGGGAAAATGGGGGAAAAATGGCAAAAAACGGTTAAAAATGGGGGGAAATGGGGAAGAAAGGGTTAAAAATGGCCAAGAAAGGGTTAAAAATGGGGTTTGGTGTTACTGGTTTGTACTGGTTTATACTGGGAGGGGACTGGGAGGGACTGGGAGGGGGGAAATGGGGAAAAAATGGGGGAAAACGGGAAAAATGGGGATAAAGGGATAAAAATGGGGGGAAAAGGGTTAAAAATGGGGAAAAAAAGGGTTAAAAATGGAGGAAATGGGATTTGGGGTTACTGGTTTGTACTGGTTTATACTGGGAGGGACTGGGAGGGTGGAAATGGGGAAAAATGGGGGGAAATTGCGAAAAAAGGGTGAAAAAAGGGTTAAAAATGGGAACGAAAGGGTTAAAAATGGCGGAATGGGGTTTGGGTTACTGGTTTATACTGGTTTGTACTGGTTTATGCTGGTTTAAACTGGTTTATGCTGGTTTATACTGGTCTATACTGGTTTAAACCGGTCTATACTGGTTTATACTGGTTTATACTGGGAGCTGACCCCGCCCCTCCCCCCTCCCAGCGCGAATGGGGGCGGAGCTTCACCAGGGAGGAGAGGAACCGGCTGAGCGCCCAGTAAGGGACTGGTTTATACTGGTTTATACTGGTTTATACTGGTTTGGACTGGGAGGGGGCGGAGCCACTGGTTTAGACTGGTTTGGACTGGTTTAGACTGGTTTAGACTGGTTTATACTGGTTTTTAACCATTTTTAACTGGTTTAGACTGGGAGGGAGTGGTTTTTACTGGTTTTTAGCCGTTTTGAACTGGTTTGAGCTGGTTCATACTGGTTCATACTGGTTCATACTGGTTAAAATGGTTTTTAGCCACTCTAAACCAATTTAAACCAGTTTATACTGGTTTATACTGGTTTAAACTGGCTTTTACCCATTTTTAACCAATTTAAACCTCTTTATACCGGTTTTCAACCGGTTCGTACCGGTTTGCGCTGGTTTAAATCGGTTTTTAACCATTTTTAACCAGT